TCACCTGCCTCTCCTTCCACTTCTTTTTCCCAATCCTCAATCCCTCTCAGTAGAGATCCTAGGCCATTTTAGACAATCGTATACACCCCGCCACACCCCAGTCCTTCTCCCATTAAAACCCCAGAGATACCCCCCCTCTCCAATACAAAAGGCTTAGAAGCCCCTCTCATGAATTAACCGGAATCCAAAAAAAAAAAAAAAAAAAACATATTTTCTATCCCAGTATGAATGTTTATAAAATTTTGCCCATCCAAGCTGAAAAACAAGAGACTACGGAAACAGGATTAAAAACTTAAAATACCTGTTATCTATTAAGCAATTCGGTGACAAAGACATAGAGGAACCCCAAAACTTTCCTCATGCGGAAAGGGTTCTAACTGTGATAAGGGCTGGGATGGGGGCGAAGCTGGATGAAGCTATAATCGCTTTCAAAATGTCCCCACCCATTGCAATCGTCCAGAGCGATAAATTGAAAAAAATGAAGCAATTTTGTACTGGGAGGGTCCCGGTTTTTGTTTACCCCTCCCTCTATAGAGCACTAAAACTGACTTTCCCTTGGGATATAGGCGGCCTCTTCCAAGACGGCACCATCAAGACTGAGATGGGCGATGGGTCTATGGGGGAGGCGGTCGGTATCCTTACCCCGACCATGTTCATTTCAGGAAAGCAACCCTAATCGGTTTTCACTATGGCTCTCTGGTTAGCAAATATAAATGTCCGAGGCCCGAGATCGGAGTCTCGCAGGGCAACGCTCTCTCGCGACCTTCAGCGCCTCGGGGTGAATGTTTGTTGTGTCCAAGAGACCCGGTTTACTTCTCATGACCGTGAGGACATACTGTCTAAGGGGTTCTCCCTTTATTCAGCATGTTTTGATGGTCGTTCGAGGAGTGTCTCTTGGCTAGTGAGCAAGTCTTTGAAGGCTGCACGTACTCTTGTCTACCAGATCCGGCGGGCAGGCTTTGTGTGCTGGATGTTACCATAAAGGATAAGGCTCTGCGTCTCATTGGGGTTTATGCGCCCAATAACCATTCTGAGTGGCCTGCTTTGTTTCGGCAGATCGAGCCGTTCTTGACAACATCTCGTCGGGTAGTTTTAACGGGGGAGTGGAATGCAGTCCTTGACCCCGATATAGATCGTATAGGGCAAAATCCGGGTACTAACAACCGGGATGTGAAACCATTTCGGGACTTTATCGACGGGTTTGATCTTGTCGATAAGTACCAGAATGAGCACCCTCGGGAGGTAGTATGGACTTGGACAAATAGTGGCAACTCAGCTCCTGGGACGCTTGCTAGCTACCACGATTGAGTCTTAGTTAGGAGAGTCGATGTAGGACTTTTAGGGTGTCCAAGTTTCCATTATATAGTTTATTCGGATACAAAGGGAATTGACGGGGCGGTTGTAGGGAACGCCTGGTGGGATAAATTAAAATCCAAAATTAGAACGTTTGCTGCCGATTTTAGTCGTCGACTCAATTTAGATAGATTAGCGGCGCAAACGGCTTTAGAACAAAAAGTTGATCGGGCAGTGAAATCCCGTGATAGTGGGGAAATAGTCTTAGCTAAGGCAGAGTTGTCCTCCGTGCATATCAAGAAGGATCAAGATCTGGTAGTTAGGGCTAGGTTAAAACGAATGTCCTCTGAGGCGACGAATATGGCCGCTGAATTGCGTGCAGAGGAAAATCGGAGCGCGCCTCGGCGACATATCGCGTGCGTCACATTGCCGGATAAGCGGATCGTGACTACAAACGCGGGCATTTCAGGAACTTTTCACCAGGGAGCCCGGTCTGAGCCCTGCTCAGTTCAACGCCTATTTAGCCGACTTTCCTTGCCTCGAGGCAGCTGAAGCGGTTGGGTGCGAGGGTCCCGCCAGTCAGAAATCTGGGAAGCGCTGAAACAGGTTGACCTGGATAAATCTCCGGGACTAGATGGTCTTCCTTACGAAGTTTACTTGAGACAGTCGCTCGTTTTTGTTCTTTTGCTGGAACTGATTTTCAACAACTTGTGTCGAGCAGAGCCAAGATTGACGAAGTCAGCAAAGAGATCAGTGGTTATGAGATGGTGACAGGGGCCAAGATCAACCGCGATAAGTCTGTTGGCTTGCGGTTGTGTACGTTGAAGGGTGTTTCTCTTTCCGGACCTTTCCTCTGGATGGATGGGCCGGTAAAGATACTCGGCGTCTGGTTCAGTCCTGATCTCCAGTTGGAAATAAATTGGTCGGAGGTACAAGGGAAGGCTGAGATCGCGGTTAATCTGTGGTCTCGGAGGAAGTTTTCCTTGAAGGGGAGGGCGGAAGTATGTGTTTTACATATCTACCCGATTCTCCTTTACCGACTCTCTGTACTTCCACTTCCGTATACACTAATGTCATTAGTAAGCTCTTGTTCTCTTTCTTTTGGAGAGACAAGGCTACTATGGTATCTCGGGAGATCTGTTGCCTCCCCCCTCCCGTCTGTGTATGACTCGTCAATATATGCTTCGCATCGCCTTCCAAGACCCAATGTGCCGCGAATCGGATGAGGATGGCGCCTTCTGCAAAGAAGACGTTCGTCGAAACTTGTGCGAGGAGGAGGCCGGCCGCACACCCCGAGCCAAATGCTCCTTCTACCGCGAATGTCGTCGTGCTCTGAAACGCCTCTTATGGGCGTCGGATGGCCTCTCCAACGTCCAGGCGTTGTCTCGTAGGGCATTGTATCAACTATTAGTCAGGGGGTCCGTTCGTGATGATTTAATTGACGAGCTCGGTCTTACGAAGCAGGAGGCTCGCTCGATATGGCCTTGGGCGCCTGGGTTGAAATGCCTCAATAACGATGAGGCATCACTCACCTGGCTGGTGATTCGTGGGGCCCTCTGGGTCGCCAAAAGACTTTGTTCAGCGGGCTTGGAGAAATCTCCAAACTGCCGTCGCTGTATTGGGGAAGTCGAGACCATTGGTCACTCCTTCTTTTCATTGCAGGGTGGTAGTGCCGTTGGGCAGGTTTGTTGAAGGCCTCATGGTCTGCATGCTGCAAGGAAAGTTCTTTGTCCTTGAGGCCAGTTCTGTTTGTAGCAATGTGGTGCCGCAGATGACGAAGGCTGAACATTATGTGTTCTGTTGCTTACTAGGTGTTATGAGAGTCGTGATTTGGACGACGCGTCAGAAGGAATTCTATGATGGTGAGAAGTTCACTTCTTCCCAACTGATCTTGTTCTTTAAGCATCAGCTTAAAGTTAAGATTAGGACGGAAAGGCGGCGGCTCACCTCATCTGAATTTGGCAAAAGGTGGGTGAATCTTGTGCGTTTGTGCCGAGTAAAAGGGGCTGACCTGGAGTGGCATCTTAATGCCGGTTAGGTTTTCCTGGGTTGAATTTGGGCAACTCATCCCTGGATTTAGGCTAGAGTAGGTTTTTTGTATTTGATTCTTTAGTTTTTCTTTTCTTTTCCAGTAAACTTAGCTAGGGTGTGTTTGCTCATTGGCCCCTTTTCCTTTAGTTTAACTCTCCATCCCCTCCCTCGTTAGGTGATGCGGGGCACCTTTCGTTTCGCGTGTGTGTTTTTCGTATTTGTTGTTGTGTCAGAATGAGTGCACGTCTGTGTGAGTGCTTGGGATGGATGAATGTTTTCTATATTCTATATAGTCCCGCATCGATTTCGTCCAGTTAACTGATATTTCTGTCACATTTAAGGTTTGTGGGGGGTTTATAATTATGTTTAGTTTCTTGTAAATAGTTTATAGCCATATTGTATATAATCATTGGGGTGTTTTAGCTTGTTGTTTTTTATTCCCCTCCCCTCACAGACAACGATTTGTACATATGGGACTATTTAGCATTTTCATTGAGACAATGAGGTATTTTGGTGGATGTAGTATTAAAGGTAAGTATGAATGTGTTGTTTTGGTTGTAGGAATATTGTTTTTTGTATGATTGGGTCAGTGGTTGTGGCTAGCTAAGTTTTAAAATTAAGAAAGATGATGACCGTCCTTTTCCCCACCCACTTTTTCGGCCTTGTACCACATTTGCTGTATTTTTACAGTAATAAATATTGTCAGAACTTCAACCCTGGAGAGATGCTAAACAAATCCACGCTAGCCAAAACTTTGACCTAACTACACTTTTCGCGCGCTAATTCTTCTGACTCGACAAACAGCACTTCCCTCTCTCAGGAACATTACTTACAACAATAAAGCCTTCTGATAATCTTCTGATACACAATATTCGCCAATCTGCAACATTATTTTTAGTAAGACATTAAGTACCTGTAACTGTTTTTATTCAATTGTACAACAGTTTCATGATTTAATTTTAATAATTTACATAACATTTATGAATTAGAAAAGAAATCTAACCGGTAAATGAAATGTTCTGTTTAAGAAAAATATTATGATTATTATGAATCATCATCATATTTACTATTTCTGCCTGAAAACTCCCACCTGTGCAACTTAATATCCACACCGCAGACAAGAGTTCAATTCAATCGAATCAACTCAGACAAGAAGTGTCACATTGCTACAAGGCCGCCAATTTAATTTACACAACACTAAATCGTGTTAAGTTTTGAAAGCGACCACGCAAAACCGCTAATATTTTTAGACCTGTTTTGTATAGGTTTTCATTTATTTTATAATATTTTGATATTCACTAACTTATAGATTCAATTGATTTCATATAAGAAACGATTGACTTATTTTTACAAATAACTACATAATAGCATAGCCGGTGTAATATATAAACTACGTCTTGTTAATCTTTCTGCACAGTTAATTGTATATTCGCATTATTCTTCAAATTTTTAAGATAGAATAATATAGATTCGTATAAAAAAATAGCATTTGATATTTTTTTATGAATATTTTAAACAAATAAGTTCAAATTTGACATAATTTTAATATCGACAGTAATTTTTGCGATTATTTTTCTTTCTAGGGTCGATATTTATATCTACACCGTTTCACGCATGCCCCGATCTTTTCTTCCGGCCCAGATTTTACGTAGCTGGCCTCGTATATCAGCAAGAAAATGGTAAGAAATTCTTTTATTTTAGTTTTATTTCACGATTTTTTTTCTTGTTTGTATTTTCTAATTTACGCAGAATATACCTATAGAGTTGATATGTAGTTGTAATTTTTATGATTAATGGTATAACCAGGCAATCTTTTGCGCAGCTTTTCTCTTTCATTTTTAAACACATGCTTAGCTTCTCATTGGAACTGATGACATTTAAACGTATTTTATATAGATTTAAGAGTATTTTAACTGCTTATTCGTATATTTATTTAAAATAGATTTTAGTCGAATTTTTTTTTTTTTTTGTAAATATTTTTATGGGACTTTATATTCGCTGTTTCACTCCATATGCTGACTACAACATCAACTCTAGTCTGTCATGAGCTTTAGTTTATCATAAACTTTAAGTTTTATATTGCTTAACTTTATTTAAAATTATCATATTTTTTTCTCTTGTATTCTGTGCGTTTGAATCTTAAAATTTTAATTTCTTTGAGATACTAAAAAAATGAAACGAAAAGAATACAGTCATTTTTTAAAATTAATTTAACCTTATGTTGGCTTTGCCATTCACTACTAATTTTTTTTTTTTTTTTTTTTTTGCTTTGGAGAATTATTTATTACTTTTAGTTTTAACATTCCTTTATCGAAGTTTCTCTCGTTACCATTTCGTGTGAAATATACGATTAAAATCACTTCATTGAACATGTTGCAAGAGCCAGTTGTAATTAATCATTGCTCTCTATCCACTACGATACAATCCTTAAATCGTTCAAATGGCCGGCTTTGACAAAAACGGAAGTCTTATTTCCACGTGTTGTCCAAATTGTAGAGAAGAAAAGTCATTTAATTTGGTTGTTTGTTTAGCTGTCATGACTGCAGAGGTAAAGTGAGACAATATCTGCATGTGGGGGAAACAGATTATAAGAAAAAAACACTTCACAACTACGCGCACACACAATAAAACAAAACAAAAAAAAAAAACAAAGTCACGGTACACTTTTGGAAAGAGTACTTTTTCTGAGATAATGTTTTTAATTTGGGATTTTGAATTTTCCATTGAACATTAAGTTTAGCGTTTCAAACAATTTATGCATACTAACTAAACATTAATTTTTAGCGCTTTCTGCTATAAAATATTTGAACTACCTTCATATTCTTTGGCTGAAAATCTTCCCATTTAAATTGAAAGGCGCTATTGTACATTTTTGCAACCACCTCGAAACACTTTTTTAGTATTTATTTACTTTCTGTGCATTTAAACTGAACGTTTGGAAATTGTTTTCAATCATTAAAGATGTTCTCAATTTAAATACAAATTCAAGAACCAGTACAGTAAATCTTGTTTGATCAGTTTTTTAATTTTTTCATTCCACAAGCTCTGCAAACTAATCACCAGTCAGCCATCATATTTTTTTCTCCATACAAATAACGATTCATTGATTTCAGTTTCATCTATGCATCCAAGCCCACCCAGTTGCTCAGGGTGATTATGAAAGTGCACAACTGGTGGGGAGCAAAAGTATAATAGCACTAAATTGAAATTTCTGTATTTTTCTTCAGATATTAAATTTCAGTTACAGAAAAAGAAAAATTGAAATTATTGCATTTTGGGCAGATGTTATTTTGTTTTTATTTTGGATACATGGTTTAAAGTAGAACATGGGATATGAAGTTACTTCAAAATCTTCGAGGACTGTAAGCGAAATAAATGTTTGGCATACACAAGCTGTCAGAAACATTTAGGTACCTCCAAAGATTTGTTAAAAAATAAGCATACAGGAATTATTATTAAACTATTTAATTTTTATGAAATTTTGAAAAATTCATTTTTGTCAGGCTTATTAGTTATAAGCACAAGCACTTGGAGAACATGAATCATTAATTTGTTTTTTCTGGTGTAACAGGATCCCCTAGTTGCAGAAAATCTGCTCTGAATTGTAAAATAAAAAATGTGATAAAACAAAGACATTATTAAACAGACTTTTAATTGCTTTTATGAATAAGATATATTATAGACGCTATTGTTTTGAGAAAAACTTTTTTTTTTCTTTTTCTCCGCACCCTCCAATGAATAATGAATTTTTACAAGAATTATTTTCATATTTTTTTTTTTTTTTTAAATTAGAATAATTTATAAAGATTTAAATCTAATTCTAATTTATAGCAGTTAGGTGATATTGTTATTAAGTAAAAACCATATTTACTCATCATAAATGGAAATGTTTACTATACTTCAGCACCCCCCCCCTCCATTTTAAAAAAATATGTTTGCAGTATGACAGTGAGGTAGACACTCATATTCGACATTAAAGGAGCCCTACTCACAACAGCTGAAGAGGTTCTGGGGAAAGCTATGGAAGAAAATTCAACTGGATCATGAAAAAAAGTCCTGGAATTGTGCAGCAAGAGATAAGAATGCATTCAAATGATGAATCATAGACGCAGTACCAAAACATGCATAGAGAGGTCAGGAAGAAGTTATGAGAAGCCAAAGAGGATAGAGTAGGAGTGCAGCACCATTGCATAAAATCAGGTGACAGCAAGAATACCTACAATACCCTCAAATCCTTCACCAAGGGCAACTGCCAAAAATGGCAAGCTACTGACAGGCAGTATGGAAGTTCTGAATAGGTGGACTGAGTACTGCAACAGCCTGTACAATTATGAGCTCCATCCACATACCTGTTTACTGCAAACCAACCAGTATGCCATAGAAGGCAGACAGTTTGCCAATACTGAAGGAGGTGGAAGAAGCAGTAATAAGAAGCCTGAAACCTGGCAAGTCACCTGGAGTAGACAATGTACCCCTTGAACTGGTGAAGAAACTGTTAAGGACCTAACAACTCTGTCAGTGGATATCTGTGAACAGAAAATGTGGCCAAAAGACTGGATCCAGTCATTAGTGATACCTCTACCAAAAAATGTGTAATCTCAAGTAATGCCAGAATTATAGAACAATACTGATCAGCCACCTGAGCAAGGTTATGCTCTATATTATCCTCAACCAGCTTTGAAGGTTGAAAAACTACTGCCAGATGGAGCACAGTGGAACAAATCTTCAACTGTAGGGTCCTTTTGAGAAACATCTGCAAAACCAGAGGTACCTGTTCCATGATTTCAAGAAAGCATTTAATTGGGTATGGCATGATGGCTGGTTTATTTTTTACTTTTTAGAAAATCCACATTGCACTTGATATGAAAGCTTTGGTGTGATAAATACTGATACCAAAAATTAGATTCATAGCTTTTACCAATTTTTGAGCATTTGCTTTTAAAGATCATCTGAAAAAATGTACAGAAATACCTCATTTTTGCAGATTTTTACTTACAAACTGATTTCACGAATAAATCCAAATAAAGTTGATATATTTTGTATTAAATACATTGAATGGAAAATATATTCAAATAGAATTCTAATTATGAATATCCACAAGCAAAATATGCAATTTTTTATTGTATTTGATAAGTAAAAATTGTGTAAAATATAAAAAAAACCCTAATCAATGAATAAAATATTACACAATTTGATAGGTCATAATTAATACAAACAAAAAATAAATAAAAGTGTATATAACACCATAATACTGCTCAGCACAAATTATGAAACAAAATGTTTTAAATTTGCATTCTTTATTCAAAATCTCGCTGAAACTACTGCACTGCATAACACATTATAATATACTTAAATTATTCAGTATAATTTCCCATTGAAGTAAATGAATGTCTTATTGGATGGCACAATGATTTAATAAAAATGTGTTTGTTCCTTGCTTCTTGTCCATGTATAATTTGAAGCTTCAATAGTTAATTTAACTGTGCTTTCCACACCTTACAAATGTACAGGTAAATTCAGTAACTCCAATGTTGTTCCATTCGTTTAGAACCTATTGCAGTTCATTAATTGTAAAACCTTATGCAACCACAGGTTCACAACCTTTTATTAATCAAATTTGATCTGTGTGTCGTTTCAGAGCTGAATGTAATTTTTTTAATCTCTTCTGGTTGAAAGTCAAGTGGTACTGTGGTCCTTTTAAATTTTTTTGCTGTTTTCCTCTGTAATCAACTCTGCAATTAACACCAATGCAGATGATATTTTTACAGTTCTGAACATGCTTATGATGAATAGTTTTCCCTGTCTATTTTTGACTTATCAATTATAATGTCCTTTAATTTAAGGCTTGGATAAAAACGCCCATCTCTTGTAGGTCTAATAAAAGGGCATTAGCAAGTCATGTCCCAAGGTTGAAAGATACATCACTCTTAATAAGTTCCATGGCATATCTAGAGGCTGTAAGTTCCCTTTGACTGTTTTCCTGGCTCAAAACTGTAATCAGTTGTTTCTTCACTGGAAGACATTGATGGAAAATAGCTGAGGTAGATAGAGACAATATGTGTAGCATAATGTTGTTGCTATCTTTCAGCCAGTCTCTCTAATCCCTCTGCTACAGTTGTACTTTTTAAATATTTTTTGACAGCATCTTTGTTGATAGTTTCAAATTGGAAACTGCCTTTTGGTCCTGTTTTTAAATATTTCCTTTCTTCAATGGGAACCTGAAATTTCAAAATGAGTGTATATCTTTAAAAATGGATGTAGCATACATGATAAATATGAAGGAAAATACCACAATATTATTTACTAGAGAAGGGAAGATTATCAAAAGTAAATTTATATTTTTCCATTAATTTAAATTTTGAAAATCAGGACTTTAGTAAAATTAAAGGAAAATAAGCACAGAATTAACATCTTGTGAGGAGGACAAGTGCAAACATTACCCTATTTTAATACCATTTCCAAAGTAAATTAGAAATAAGAAGACTAGAAAGAGTATTACTTACCTAAATGTAGGTACCTCCACGAGATCGCTAAAAAAAGAGCATAGCATGATGAAAAAGACGCCAAACTTGACGAAAACAAAATTTTATCGTCTAAATGTTTGTTATTCATTAAGAGGAAAGGTCAAAGTATTTTGGGGTATTTTTTTCCATTTTTAATCGTTCCTAGCACGTCCAAA